GCGACCGCGTGGCAGCAGGGAAAATGGCCGCGGATCCGGGTCGTAAGGAGAGGTGGAGTTCGCCAGTAGAGGGAAATTTTTGGGGCCAGAGCTGGTCGTATCTTGAAAAATTCGTAAGGAGGGGCGTTCGTAACTAGAGGTACCACTGTATGGTGAATTTTTTGTGTTTCTTCTTACCCAAAGAATTATGAGGCAACTAACAGCAGTGATAGAGATTTACCCAGGTTGCCACATAATTTTTCTTGATTAGCATCTGTCTCTGCCAAGTTGCTTCCTGTGCTCCTAGTTATGCATTTTATCTGCATCAGAGAGACCCTGTACTCCCAACTTTATTCAGCATTAAGGTAGCCAATTATTAGGAGTGCGGGAGTTGGAGGGCTTCTGTTTCAACAACTCTGATGAGGGTTGCACTATGGGCAAGCACGTATAAAAAATTGTCCAGCTGAACTTACTTCTCCATTCATTTATTGAAAGCTTTGTACTTCCTATGGAGTCATCATAGGAGTGCTGTGCTTCTGTCTCTTCCTCAATATCTCTGAATGGATCAAAGTATGAATGGGCCAGAGCTTGGGTTGCTGTGAGACGTTTTTCTACATCCAGCTGCAACATTTTGTCAAGCAAGTCCACTGCTGCAAGGAAACACAAAAATATTGTAAAAATTAAAGGATGCTATAATTGTTAATTATAGTAAGGATAAACCTAAAAGCTTAAGATGGCTGGAGAACTAAGTTGGCTAAATTTGCCTCATCCAATTTTCACATTTCAGTGAACAAATGTAAGTGGCTCACCACTGTATGTGAAACTTAATATCTCAGTATCTTTGAAGAACCCCAGTACTAGATGGGCCCAAATATATGCTCACAAAGTAACCTAGTTTCAGACCATTATCTGATCTAATACGTATCAGGTCACTTGGGTTCCACCCTGCCTCAAATTCAGAAGGATAAAGTTCACAAAACATAATTAAACTAGGAGGAAAGGAACTTGGCTATGTGTTGAAAATACAACTTGATGTATTGTAAAGTGGCCTATAACTTTAACAAATAGTTTTAACTTTTAAAACATCTCATACAGTGCAATTCTGTACTGGTTAGTTCTCATCTTGGAGCCAGTGAAGGGTTTCTTCTCATTACAAATAGCAGCTTTGGAAAAGTGCTCTTGTCCAAGACCATAGTGGGGAGGCAAGAGTAAAATTTAGAAATGTGTAGGAAATGGAAAATATGTTTTATTTCATAGTCAAAACAAAATTCAAGTGTTCTGAACACAGGAAACAATGGAAATGGGACCAGCTGGTGTTCCCTTGTTTTTCACCCCAAGCCCAAGAGGAAATTGCAGTGCATGCTGAATGCTACTAGTTAGCCAATTTGCAGGAAAAAAAATGGTCAAGGTATGATTTTGTAAAACAAATCCCCCACCTGAAACAGGAATACAGCACTGGTCTTACCCACTGACAAGTCAGTTACTGTTGTTTACAATCTGATACCAAAACCTACCCCTTATTTCAGCAGGGAAATCTTTTTCAGTTCTGTTAAATAAACTTTGAGGTACTGAGCTAATCTCTGGCGCTCCTTTCAATTAGTACTTTTTCCAGCCTAAAGATAAGTAAAGCCACCAGGCATACAGATTCTATTTCCATAAATTTCTATCAGGTTTTCTTAATACAGTACTTTCAAAAAAAATATTTTTAAAATAATCCATTTAATCAAATTTTCTGTAAGTGCTGCTACTCCATCTAATAGTGAGATCAAGTGTTTTGCAGTCATCTAAAAGGTACATGCCCAGTAAAAGAAAAGCAGCTGTGTTGATATTTTTTCTTGCAAATAGGTACAGCAGTTGGCTGCAGTAAAAAATAAACCAGTTAACACTTCTTAAAAGCATGAATCACATTCACATAACAAGATATACAACTGTGCACAGAGTGTGTGTGCCTGTCAAAATTCAACAAACCACATCAACATTATGCTAGTATTCTTGGCATTTATACAATATCAATACTGTTAACAAAATGTGTGTGAGAAGCACACAGTACACATGCAGATATTTTTGGCTTGCTTGCTTGAGAAATTAAGCACAGCACACATGAACTCTGTGACCCATTGACTCGTAAATTCTAATTTCCCCCAACAGTTTTGTTTTTTTTTTAAAAGAGAAAAGTAACTTATTGAACAATCATGTGGCTCAGAGCAATCTTCTGTCTGCTCGTGTGTCTAACTGCTTCTCCACACTCAACTCCCATATCATCAGATCTAGTCAAGCAAATTGTAGCGGGGACATGATTGGGCCCCGCTGCGGTACTGGCTAGGCTGGAAAAAGTGTGGAGAAGAGAAGGGAACCCCATCACAAGCCACAAAATAGTCCAGCTGGAGTGCTAGCAGTACTTGGAAGACTCAAAATGACACCACTTGAAATGATAAAGGTTTATTTTGGGGTTGGATCCAAACTCTCAGAACTCATGTTTTGAGCTCTGAATACTCAAAATGCCATTTGTGGCTACCAAGCTGGAGAAGACTGGCACGTAATATAATATTTACTTTTGGGTATTTCCCATTACACTCAAGGGGATTTATTTTCACAATATCCATGGGGTTATACACTATTCATGCTTAATTACATTTTAACGATTTCTTTGTTATCCTCGAAGCTGTACAGAATATGCCGGCTGTGCTAGACTCATAAAAGATTGTTTCGACATGTTCATCTGTCATCTGAATAAAAGTTAAATAATACTTAGAAATATGAGTTTTATCATAAATGAAAAGATATCAAAAAGCTTACCCAGAGGACTGGCTTTGGGTAAAAGCAGAGATAAATCCATTTTGGGAATTTTAGGGAGGGTCTGTATGTAGTGTTTAGCCTAAAAGAAACAACATTTTCATACAGCCATACCAATGTCACCTGGAAAAGTTACACCATAATCAACCCTTTATAGATTGGTGAGCAGCCCACATATCAGCCATACCCTTCTTTCATCAGAAGTGCTCATGGGTCCATATTAGCCTCCTTTGAGTTGTGTTTGTAAATAAGACAAAGTAATAATTTTACTGTAGTAATAATAATATCACTTCTATTGATCCTAATATTTGCATCTCCCTTTATATCAGGGATGGGAAGCTTGTAATTTAATATACAGTATGCAGCCGAATTTCATATAATGGGAGAGTTCAGAAGACAGAAGGGAGGGGAAAAAAAAACATTCAGCCCTCTAATAAAAGTGGCCTCCCTTCCCTGCTAGTTAACTGGGTAAGGAGGGCAGTACAGAAAAGGAAGAGAAAGAGAGGGCACCTTTCACCCATATCTGGTTTTGGTACTGCCCACCACAAGCAAGTAGCCTCAAGAGCAACACTTCAAAAAACATCTTAGATTATGCTTCATATGACAATTTCTGCCTATTCAACCCAATTTCTCCAAGTAAATAATAAGATGCAATACTACACAAAAATTAGGACAGAGTAGGATAAACATGCACAGTATTGCACCTTCAGTTCATGGAAGTGAGACATTTCCATTGACTGATCTCTGAATATCTACATTCCTTTGCCATTTTCAAAAGCAAAGTTTGTCTGTCTACAAAGATACCTTCTCATGCCATATTTATGGCCAGTATGTTCCAACTTACTTTGGCCTTTGCTCAACACTTTTGTCATGTCCTTTTTCAATTTTGATCATGTAATATCCTGCCCCTGAGAGGGAGACCTTCCTATGTTGGCAGGGAAGGTTTCATTAGGCCGTGCAGAGAATAGACAACTCATGGCTGTCCCCACCCCCTGGTTCTGTTTTACAGAAGGAAAGTGCATTTTCAGATGTCCTCCTCCTTCTCCTCCAGCTGTTACAACCCCAATATTTCATCTAATTTCAGGGGTGGTATTCAATGATTTTTGTCAGGAGTTGATTGCAGCCAACAATCCTCAGCAGTGATGCAGGAACAAACAAGTATTAATGAATATTAATATTGTATGTTATAAAACTCAGAGGTGATTAAAACAAAAACGCTGGTATACATATAACATCATTTCATTATTCTTGTCAGACAAGCTTATGAGGGTGGAAGTTTAGATACTAGTCACAACAGTTTTCTCTATTTTGTCAGACAGGATTGTTGTGAAGATTAATGGGGATATGGGAAAGCAAATTACTTTGAGCTAATTAGAGGAAAGGTGGGATACGTATGTACAAAAAGAGTTGACATCATTTATAAAAGTTGGGCAGAAAGTTAAACATTCTTTAAAGAGTGCAACTTTCTAAAACTACAACAATAACATACGAGTTTGCTTTTAAAGTGTAAAATAGAGTATCTTACCGCTTTGTCTTCCAGCTTTTGCACAAACTCCTCTCCGGGGCTTCCTGTCACTTTCAGGATCTGGGTTAGCTGATCGAGATCTGGCAGGCTGAATCAAGTATTACCAACAGGGGCCAGACTTTGAGCTTGACACACTAGATGACAAACCCCTCCACAAATGGATCCATTTACCATGTATTTATCCTGCTTTTCCTATAAAAGGGCAAGGTCTATAGCTTGCTTCCATACCTCATTGTTTGCATCACTAGGCTGAGCGATACTGAATCTTACTGCTAGGTCACTGGTTATTAGAGAGAATAAAAACTGCAACCCTCAAGCATTCATGTTAAAGTAATATAAAAAACTTCAGAATATCAGTTTATATCAGCAATGTCTAACAGCACAATCTGATATCTCCTGCCTAAAGACTTAAATACCCTTCCATCAACAGAGATAAATGTGCCTGTCAGTTTTCAGACTGCTAAAGGGACTGGCCGCTATCAAAGCAATGAGCATATGTAGGCTACCTCACCTGTACAAAAGCAGCAGGCCCCTTCCCAGCCCCCTCCACCATTGACATGGTCAAAGGTTTACTGACTATTCATAGATGCCTTCTTTGAAAGAAAAGCACTTTCTGGAATTCTTGTGTACATAGTAACCTTACCCTGCCTTCTAGTGAATCTCGGAACTCTGCAGCAAAGGAGAGGAGAGAGAGGGGATCCTAGAGGTGGTGGTTATACTTGTAGAAAACTTTATGAATGTAAATGTGGGCACACTGTGCCATTTCTTAGGAAAAGCTCTGTCCGGTTTAAGGAGCTGCAGACAGGGCCGTGCAGAGATTGGGATTTGATGGGTGAAATGCCATTTGGAACACTTGTGGGCATACATGTGGGCATGCATGTCAGGAGCACCTTCAGCCAAGCATGACTTTTCCCAGGATCATGCATCAGCTGCTAAGGGCAACCCCATGAGCCTAGGAATAGAGACAACAGTTTTAAGGTGTTCCTGACAAATAGAACATGTGCTCCTTACCTGTTCTGAATTCCATTTTTCCTACCACATCCTGATCTCTGCACAACCTGAGCAGACAGCAGCTACGTTTGTGCTCAGTGCTCCCTGAAATACTTTTTGCTTTTGAAAATGAAACCTTGCACAGCCCTACTATACACTGACTTGAACACCAGTAAAGGTCTACCAATAATGAATGTCAAGCATCAAATGGAGGGAGAAACATCAAATACCCTTGTTTGTCACAACCTTCTTATTAATTAAAATGTGAAAATAGATTTTTAGGTTTAAAATCTTAAAAGGAGCCCACTATACTTACTTTTTGCAAGTATAAGTATTTTTACTTGTCATACCTGACTTCTTGCTATAGGCAACTCTCTACATTATTTACATTTTCAGTCCAAACTGTGAGAGCATCAACTTCAAACAGGGACACAGGTTTGAAAAGGATACAGTCTTTACCCTTAAACAGAGTTTTCCCAGTCAACATTTCTGCCATGATGCAACCAACAGACCAGATGTCCACTGTTTGGAAGTGAGAGAAATAGACAAGAAAGGATTTAATGCTAAGGTTTGAAAGAGCAGCATTAGAAACCAAAATATACATTTTACACATGCTTGTAACAAGTTTGCTTGTTCACAAGTGACATTATCTTTAGCTATCAGACCTGGGCACCAAAAATCCAAACCACTACTAGATGCAGCCAAGAGATACAGAAAACTCTTTGCTGCCATCTTGTGGTCATCCAGATTTTTACAACATCAAGCTGGTAGCCCTGCCTGTAATATTATCTTGTATTATTCTTATTTTATTGTTTTGGAATCTTTTTTAAGTGATCAGGGGCAATGAGCTATTTTGCACTAAGGTAGTTTTTCCCCAACTTGCTGCCCCCCAGATGGGCTGTGTCGACCATAATTCCTAGCCAACAGATCTCTGATCATGCTTGTAGAGAATTAGGAGCATTGAAGAGCAATCCATTTGGAGGACGCCAGTTTGGACAAGTGTCTGTTCAGGTTTTCTATGCCCTAAATTGGTTACACAAAATATATGGCTGGCACTTATGGGCTTTTCAGATATTTTAACTTCATTTTTCTCAAAGGTGCTATTACAGGAGAAATGCATGAGATTAACGAAACCTAACTTTTGCACAATAGTAATAGTTGTGTCAACAGCTGCATTTGAAGCACATGCATCCACATATCACAATGCAGTTGAGTTAGAAACTCTTCATGCTGGTGACTTCACTGGGAGGCACAGGAGAGGCATCTGTCTATTAATTGCAAGATGACTGGAAGAGCAGAGTCATGAAACAATCTAAGTGTTAGGAATTCATAGCAGTGAGAATAAGATTATGCAACACAGTCCAGAGTAGCTGTCTGCAGACTATGGAAGGTAAGAATTCAATTCAGATGCAATCGTATGTGCTTCTGTCTGGGAATAAGTATCACTGAAAAGAATATGACTTCTCAGTAAGCAAAGTAAGGGAAGCAGGTCAGATGCTATTTTAATTAATGTCTGCTTGAAAAAAAGTAGACTGGATTCATACATTGGGCATATAATATGCTAAACCAAATACCATGCTTTACAAACTGTAATTACTGGGATCATACAATTTGTTATGCCACAGCAAACATTACAGCTTAGCATAATCTATGAATCAGGTCACACTATGAGGGTTTGTATTGTACTTACTGAACAAGGGGAGAATTAAATACATTTAAAAATCACATATAAACACTAGTGTAAGGCAATAGCCCACATCCTGGTAAGAATCTCCCAAACCTCCTAATAAATAAATAATTTAACCCACCAGTCTGGTTGTAGTGCATCCAGTTCAGAATCACTTCAGGTGCTCTGTACCAACGAGTTACAACATAGCCTGTCATCTCTGTGTCTGTATGCCTTGCTAAGCCAAAGTCCAAGATCTAAAAACACAAAGAAGATTCTGTTGCATAATGAGGAATTTACAGAACAGTGTTGCCATCTATCCAAAACAAAACAAAAGCCTATTCTGTTTTTCCAGTACACTTCACAAAGTTTCTTAAGTTCCTCCTAGAAGCAGTGGATTGCTACTATGAATGCATTGCTTCTTTTTAGCAGAATGATGACTAAAAACACTTTTAGTTAGCTTTAATGATGCCAACTGAGGGCCTTTCCCCATTACTGAGTCAAAGGGAAATCCACCCATCTTTGAGTCAGCAGGAAACGACACTGGCTTGAAATTTGCTGTTCAATTACAATGCCTGTCCTGCCCCAACTGCATCTGTTCCAAGTCACCATCAACTTGCGTTGTCTTGATTTTGTGGGTGCAGCACGTGATAAGCAAGCAATTAGTTGATCCCTCTGGCTTTGTTGCCCTCCCTCTTCAGCATGTCACCAGTCCATCACAGCAGTGCAGCAGGACAATGTCTGTCATCTCTATTCTCCTACCTGGGCCCTACCCTCTGGCATCCCATTCTGTCATAGTCCATGTTGAATAATAATTTAAAAAAACAGGCAGGAATCAAGAAGGGCTCTGAGTCAAACAATAGCACTTGTTTAGGACTGCTCTCTCCTTCCCTTCTTTAGATATACGTTATGGGAGGCAAAAGAGTCCCACCGTTCCATGCTATTTTCGCCTTGCACTAAACCAGTAAAGGCCATAGAATTAAAGAATTTACAGTATTGCCAGCTGCATTGTACACTGCTCTTGCACAATTCTGATAAGCCATTGGCACAGCACTAGTGTGTCCAGCTGTTTAGAGAGGCAACAGCGGAATTGTTGCAGAAAAGGGTGACAGGAAGGTACAGGATATGCCTTCATCATCTGAAATGGCCAATAAGCATTCTCTGATCTCATCTTTCACCTCTGACATAATGGTTGGGAAACCATAGCAAATTTCGCCCACCTTGAGACTGTCATTGGATACTGTTGGTATAAGGGAAAAGGACTATTTTAGCACAATGCAGTTGAGGATACTTTAAACCGATCTCAGTCATGGGCTGGAGACAAGAGGAAAACAATCTAATGGGAACAGAGCAGTAAAAATACATTGCCAGGGCATGTTTGTACCATGACTAACTACAAGTGGGAAAAGCCCTGAGGGAAGGCAGCTCTTTTTTGTTCTTTGTGTGCTATAATCTTGTTTAGCCAAGACTCAGATATTTTGCCAAAACTCATAGTCTAGCAGTTTGCCAAGCCTAGCTATAAATCAAGGACAGAAAGTATAGTCCATTACCAAGCATTGCATTCTTCCATGGAAAGAGTATTGACGAACCATTCAAGATGCTATTACTGTGCAATTCCAAAATTGAGAGTGGGATGTAAGCTGCATCAATATTATTCTGCATTTGAATTCTGAGCCTTTGCAATGTAGGCTTAAAGCTGGGAACATGATTAAACTGTAATTCTATGTACTGCCATGAAATATAAGGGTCCTTCCAGGTGAAGGCTCTTTGTGAACATACTTTTCTTCTATTTAATAATTTTTTCTAGGGAATGAAAATGCATGGAAGAAATAATGGGAAACATGGGAAGCTTACATAAGGAAGATGATGTCATCTAAAATTCTATTTTGAACAGAGCAATTGCTTAATAAAATGCAATAAAAGTGTTACTGGTCACCTTAAATTGATTGATTTCAATGAATCTATCTTTAGATACATTGGTTGGATCCATCCCACTGAAAGAAGTAGGTGTTACTTCCAAATAAACACAAATGAGATGCAGAAGATGATGCACTGAAGATTCAGTTCAAGCACAGTCAGACCAACAATGCAGTGTACATTCTACTTTCTCATTAAACAAAAACAAAAATCCTACCTTTAGTTCACAGTCTTCATTCACTGCTAAATTGCCTGGCTTTAGATCCTGCAGTGTACAAAATTAGAAAAATCCACTATGACTATGACAATTTCATCCTAGGGTAGATAATTACATAACAACCACTTTGCCATTCTTTCCTCCCATCCCAGAGCCATAAATCGTGTTTCCCCACAACAAGCACATAACATGATCCAGGCTGTCTGCTGGTCATATAGTTCCTCTCTCAGTTCAACACTGAAAAGACAGTTTCCCTGGCCGAGAATTTGAATGTCACCAACCAGGACATTCAAAGGAAAAACTGCTACTGATTGATGTATAGAATATCTACCAGGGAGGTGTTGTAAGGTCTAGGCATCCTGTTCCATCAATCTTTTTTCTATTTTTTTTCTTCAAATGATTGTTAACCTATTGACCTCGTGACCACTAGATGGCAGCAAAGAGGTTGTTTTTCATAATTGCAATTTAGGGTCACCTGGATTTATACAACCCTGATGCAGCTACTCGCTGCATAAATATTACTGAAGCTGGAGATTTTATTGGGTATGAGAGACATGTTCACTTATGGAGTCTCTTACGTACATCCACATCAATTCTCCGAAATGTTTGTGACCCATTAACCTTTCAACCCACCTACCCACTAGGTGTCAGCAACGAGACGTTTGTGTCTCTTTGCTGCCCTCTCATTGTTAACTGGATCTGGGCAGGCAAATGTCACTGTATCTTGAAGCCAGGTTACATTCTATGATGAGGTGAACTTCTCAAAGAACATTCTGTGAGGAAGGAACTGAGGAGGCAGGGTTTCCCCAAAAGCAAGGTGTCCACTGGGAAGGGAAGTGTAGGCTGTAAGAGCACAAAAGCCAGTTATCCTTTCAGTGGTGTGCCAGGGATAAGCTAGTCAATTTCAGGGCTTTACACCCTCTAGGTTGGCCAAGTGTGGCCAAAACAGCACTGCAGAATAAGTGCCACCTGCATGGACCAGATGGAAGGGAAGGGTCCCACAGCAGAACTGCCAGTCCAAAGGTAACCGAGCAGCTGCCCGCCCAGCACTGGGCCACCAGCCTCCTCCCCAAGCACTGTGGTCTGTGTGGGAGGTCCTCTTCCTTTTTTCCAGGGAAAACGTGACTTCAGCCGGCCTTAGCAATGGGCTGCCTGTGAGATGGAGGTTCTGTTGTGAGTCCATGCCCTTCGGAAACAGTAATGGGATGTGCTTGTGCTGCAGTAAGGAAATGATGTGGCTGAGCTCTTAAACTGTAATCTGATTCCTACTTATCAGAATAATTTCCTTTTAAGCTCAAAAATTGGGTGCAGTTTGGGTTGCATTCTTCTTGCTCGTTGAAGACTGGCTTAACCATTCTAGCCATAGGCGCTATTTTGCCAACAGAGAGGGAAGGACACCAAGCAGGGATCCTGCTGCTGTGCCTGCGAACGCTCCACTGGCACACATATTCTGCCAATGGTGCTGCCCACGTCAGAGACAGCAGCGGATCTGCCAGACCCAAATTTCCTTGTTCCTCTTAACAGTTTCCCCCAAACAACCAATACTGTGTTAGCGAATTGCCTTCCATTTCATTCAGTAGGAGGAAAAAGAGAACGCTTATTCTCCCATCCCTTCCTGCTGGGCTGCTGCAGCAGAATAACAGGGCAGAGGGGTTAGTAGTCAGGCTATACAAACCTTTCATTTCCCCATCCCTCTGTTGTTATTATTAAGAGCTGAATTCATCTCCCTCACCACAATTAAAAGGTCAAACATCTTATAAATATTCTCTGGCAGTTCTGATTATTGCTCTCCAGTTGGGTAGTATATACTAATAGGACCTTGTGAAACATTTCTCCTCCAGATGTACAACCAGAGAAGTATTCTTTCTCTTTGAAAAGTAGCTAATGGTCTCTCTCCAGACCTGCTTTTTCTCTCAGTTCTGTAATGTTTTCATTGGACTATTTCCATGTTTAAAAGCTGGCCTCAGGGCATGCACAAGGTCTGTCTAGTGATGTCTTCTGCTCAGGTGACAAGTAATATGTTTTCCTCAGGCAGTTTTCAACTGCCATAGAAAAAGGTGAGCCAACAAGCTGGATTACAGGGTTTGATGCTGAAATGCATAAGGGAAATGTCAAGTGAGTGTATCTCAGTGGGGGCAGCATGTATTTCCTAAGGTGGGCCATGCCATGTGGGTGCACGGGGCAACCTTCTTCCACTGGCATCAGGAGAAGGGAAGACTGGGAAAGGCAGCAATTCTTATGTGAACATTGCACCAAGACTTGCACTTGTTAAAATGTTGGCCTGAGCATCATGTGGGGTGTGATTTGGGACCTGCTCCTGACACCAAAATGTGTTGGATCTGCACAGTGATTTTCTTCCTTTCTGAGGGCAGATATGTACAGTTGGCCAGGTTCCCACATTAATATGTTTTGTTGGTCTTTGGCTTAGATTGTGAAGAGGGAAGCTGATCAGCTGTGGCTTATTCAACAAAGCATTGTTAAACAAATTATGATTTAGTGAATTCATTCTATCTTTGTAAATATATGGAAGGAGAGCATCTTAACTCTTCTTGGCTCTTCCAACTGCTGGGGGTGGGTTATTTTACAGGGAAGAATCAGTGGGCTAGGGAAGAATTAAGCAATTTCATCCCACCCATATATATATAATTTCTTGTACAAATGTGTTTCTCCACATTAATGTTACAAAGGAAACACGGAATTTCCAAAGTTGAGGACAGGATGATATCAGCTGAATAGGATAAGAGGAGTAGGTGTGGCTGTTTGTAACATGCTGGTGAGTCAGAACTGGGACAGTGCCACCAACAGCAAAGAGGCTTCTAGGGAGATGTGTGGGTTCTCTTCTGGGGGGCAGAAAACAAAGGGCATTTGGTTTTAGCACAGCAATAGCGATTAGGTGATCTTTTTAACAGGTTTACATACTGAAGGGGTTTGAAAAGATTGGCAACAGAAGAAATACTGAGTTAAGGAATATGCACTAGTGCAGCCTTCCACAGCTTGGTGCCAATGATGTTTGTGGCTGAGAGATTATGGGAGCCATACCTGGAAGGCACAAGACTGTAGAAGGCTGCACTGGTGAGCTGTACACTCTAGAAACTTTAAAAAGAACTTTAAGAAGAACATACCCTATGAATGATTCCAGCAGAGTGAATATACTGCAACAGAAGAAAAAGACCACATAAAGATTCCATACATCCATTCTACATAATAGAAATTAATCAAGATACCAAGTGATAGAACATGTTTCTAAGTAGTATCTTACAATTTGTATGTGGATTAATTTTCTGGAAACAATCCTGAGAAAGTGGAAACATGGTTTCTACTGAAAAGAAAAATAACCAATAGAAATATTCTGGAATTCCTCAGAGCTTCTCGTCAACAAAGAAAGGCAACCCCAGTGAGGTCTTTTGTTCTTGTGAGAGTGACGCTGGTGAAATAAAACTGCTTTCTCTGCAGCTTTCTCATGCCTTATTTTTTGCTAAATCATGAGCTCTAGCAATCTTCCATTACTGGTGCCCTTTTCATATGCTGAAAGACTACTCCCACAGTCCCCAGAAGGTGTGGTCACTGCTGGATGGGCACGATAGGAGGCGTGGACCAAGGTAATGAAATGAACAACTCACTACCGAGATAATAGCTATCTGCATATGGTGTGAATGGGAATGATTTGCAACCTTCAGTAAAGGGAGATGCTTCTGAGATCAGTGACTCCAGGTACTGTAAGTGATGGCATGCACCTCACGTGCACATAAGTTCCCAAAGCAATAGGCCAAGCAAACCAAGGATTCAAGGGTCTCTATACAAATACACAAAGTATGAGGAGCAAACAGGAAGAATTAAAAGTCTTAATGCAGAAAAGTGATTATGATTTAGTAGGCATTAAAGTATTGAAATATGGTGGGACAAGACTCATGAATGGAATGCAAGGACTTGAGGGTTTAAGTTATTCAAAAGCAATAGGCCTGACAGTGGTGGTCTTATGTATAAAGTAACTGGGTACATGTACTGAAATCCAGGAATTTGAACATGAGGGTCCAGTTGAGGACATGTGGGTAAGAGTACATGTTTATTTATTATTTAGTTCACAGTATTTATGATCCAACCCAATCCTGAAGGATTATGGGTGGCTAACAAGTTAAATTTGGAAATAAATAAAATTAAAAGCAAAATTGAAACAGTGTAAGAAAAAAAGAAAAACAAAACAATAATACACAGCAGCAATATCTGTGACAGCCATTCCTGATCAGTCAGAGCCAAAGGCATGTTGGAACAATACTGCTTTTAATTGTTTTCTAAAATTAAGTAATGTTGGGACTGCTCAAACTTCTGGGGAAAGGTGGGGACTACAACTGAGACTTGTCATCTGGTCCATACCCTAAGAACCTCTCAAAGAAGAGAAAGCCAAGATATTATTAAAGAGGGGTGGTTATAGAGCACCAAGGCAGGCAGATCTGAATACAATCCTCCTGCATCAGATTACAGATCTTTTATGGAAAAGAGACACAATAATAAAGGGAGGCTTGAGCTACCTGGACATCTCTTGGAAAACCAGGTCAGCTAACACTGCAAAGTCCCCAAAATGCCTCAGTGGCCTTGCTGGCTGTTTCATTTCCCAGAAGGCTGAGGAAGAGACAAGGGGGTTGGCCTTCCTAGATCTTATCCTAATCAATAAGGAATGGCTGGCTGAAGAGATAAAAAAAATATCTTTTTGGGGTTGAAGATACTACAAAAAGAAATTGGAGCACAATCATACATGGACACTAAATTTCTGAAGAACGAGTTTCAGTAAGCCTAGAGAAGTACTGGGCAGGATCCCATTGATGGAATACTCTGGTCAAAGGGAGCACAGGAGGATTAGAAATGTCTCAGAAATAAGATCATGGAAGCAGAGTCACAAAGCATTTCAATGAGGAAAAAAATGGAAGGGGGGGCAAGTTCAGGAAATTTGTGAATGCATAGGAAGCTTTCAATTGAGTTAAAAGGTAAAAGAGATATTCATAGGAAAATGGAAGATGGATATAATTGATAGTTTGCTGCTAAATGTTTAAGAATTGGCTCTGCTGGCTCCATTGCTGCTGATGAGGAACAGCTGGGTGCCAAGGTTCATCTCTGCTGTCAACCGGCTCGCAAAGTTCCAGAAAATTTAACCATCAGCTCTTGCAAGCACACCCCTAGATATAATCATCAAAGAGGTGCTTCTGCAAGTAGGTAATATGGAAGTCAGAAAGGCTAAAGCACAAAAGGAGTTTAAGGTTACAAGGGAAGTAAAAGCAATAGAAATGCTTTTTCTGGCCATGTCAGTAGTAAATGAAGAAAAAGGTTAGAGAAGACAATAATGTAGTAACAGATGACAAACAGAAGACAGACCCTTTTCGACTTCTTTTCTTTGGTCTTTCTTGTGTCATTTTTATTGCTTGGTCTATTGAAACACAGTTCCCTTTAGGGGGAAGTGGCAATCAATTGGGGAGCATATGGCTTCTGTGAACATGTTTAAATCTCCAGGATCAGACCAGTTACACCTGAGAATCTTGAAGGAGCTTGCAGATGTTACCTCCAAGCCCTTTTCCGTGATCTTTGAGAAATTATGGGAAATGGTTATCGTGCCAGAGAACTGGAGAAGGGCAAATGTTGTTCTGATCTTCAGAAAGGTGGGGTGGGTGGGGAAAGTCCAGAATAACTACCGGCCAGTAAGCCTGATATTGACACATGACAAAACTCTGGAATAGATCATTAAAAAGTTGGTTAAGGAGGATTTAGAAAAGGATGAATTACTTAGTAGAAGCCAGCAAAGGTTCATCAAGAAGAAATCATACCAAACCAATTTGATCTTTTTCGACAAAGTGACTAGTTTACTTGACCACAAGAGTATATCTTGACTTCAGCAAACCATTAGACAAGGCTTATCATAAGATCATAATAGAGAAGATGGCAAAAAGTTGACTGGCCTATGCTGTTTTTAGATGGAAACAGAGCTTGTACAATCATATCCCATGAGTTTATTCCAGTGACTCTGTATCAGGCTGGAAGGAGTGTTGAGGGGCATATTGTAGGGTTCCATTGTAGGAAATTGTTCATTGGCTGGAATTCTTTTTACCACATCTTCTTTCATCTTAATAAAGCTTCCTAAAGAGAACTTGCAGAGATTCATGCTTGGGAAATATCACTTTCAGTAAGGCAGCTATCAAAGATCTGACAGATACAAAGCTGGCTGAGCAATTGTTAGTCTCTGTGTGTCAGGTTGGGGGAAAGTATCAAGTGGCATATTCCCAAGACACTATTCTAGACCCTGTGTTTTTCAACATATTTATAAATGATTAGAATGAGAGATTAGAAAAAGTAATTATCAAATTGTAGTTGACAAAAATATGGAAAGATAGCAAATGCCATAAAGGATAATATCAGGATTAAAGAAGATCTTGAAAACTTGGGGAAATGAGCAGAAACCAGCAAAATGGGCAGAAACCAGCAAAATTAATTTCAACTGGGCAGATGTAAAATCCTTCATTTATGTAGGAAAAAACAAAGGCATGATTATAGCAAGGAGCATAGCATACTGCACAGTAGGACATGCAAAAATGATCCAAATGTCTTGGTGGATTTATTATAAACTTAACATGAGCCAACAGGCAGCTGCAAAAGGGGGGGGGGGAGCCGCACCAGCAGAAATAGGGTGTCAAGATCAAGAAATTCCCCTCTATTTTGCACTGGTTAGACTGCACCTTGAATATTGTATCCAGTTCTGAGTACCACATTTTAAGAGGGCATTCACAAAACAGCAACCAAGATGATAAGGGGGCTTGCATAGAAAATTGTATGAGGAGCGGTTCGTGCTGGGTATCTTTAGCTTGGAGAAGAAAAGTTTGCAGAGAGATATGATTGCTATCTCAGTATTTGAAGGGCTGTCATGTGGAAGGCTGGGGAGAATTATTTAGAGATGTTCCAGAAGAAGGGATAAGAAAAAATGGTGTAAGTTACAAGGAAAAGATATAGTAAGATTTTTCACTAGTGCAACACACTGCTTCACTGGAGGTCTTTAACAGAAGCTGGATGCTAACTTAGTAGATCCATGTACTAGGCAAGAAGCTGGACTTTATGATCTCTAAGTCCCCTCTCACCCCTCACAATCCTATGATTCTATGTTCAGAATCTATTAAAGGAAGTTACTACAAGGATAGTAAGGAAATGAGGCAGTTTGGCAAAGCTAGCACAAATTTCTGTTCTGAATTTTTCTGAAGTCACTTACCTTCAATCCTTTCAAAACCTGGTAGATCAGATACTGAATCTTTTCCTCACTGAACTGGTGTCCCATTATCTTTTGTAAATCTGTTTGCATGTATGGCATCACCAGGTAACTAAAAATATTTAAAAGGTAAGTATCAGAGAAAGGTGTACGGTATAATGTAATTTTGTCCTCACCAGAAACAGTAGCTTATTTATGCTAAGACTCATTGATTTTATAAAATTCCATCTCTGAAAATAACAGTGTATGGCTGTATTTTAGAATCAGAAATGGGAATAGTAGCTAAAATTTAATAGTTTAGTTGATGTGAGACTCACACTGTTGGCTTTTCAGATCTATTTAATCTATGCTTTTCAACTTCTGGCCATGTGTTTATCATACAGCACAAGGAATTACCAGATAGAATAGCTATTAACTGGAAGCTGAGACACAGTTGATTTGCACTGACTCCTTACATGGTTACTAATTATATAGAGGTAAAGTTCATCCTTGAATCCCCTAACCATGGTACAAACCATGGTACAAACATGCCCCAATAATAACTTTTATATAACATGTCCTTATGATGCCTTCATGTCATCCCCAGCCCACAGTTGAGGCAACTTAAAATAATCTTAAAGTAAACGATTTCAACTTAAAGTGGTGCTCTCACTTTTCTTCTGACACAATTCTTGCCATGGACACAGTCTAGCATGCTTCGTTGATGATACGGGTGATGCTCAGGGGGTGGAACCTGCCTATCTCCTATTGGCCACTCTAAGCTGCTATGGGCATGCCTCTTCCCTTCAGATCACTGGGACTGCCCTCCACAGCCATTGCAATTTGGGCGGCAGTATTCACCAGAGACCTAGCTTCCACAGAGGCATTTGCCCACAAAATGCCAGATTGGCACTTCCTGAAGTATTTGTCAGTGTTATGCAGGCTTCTTATAAAAACGGGTATAGTGTCTTTTTGAAAGAACACTGGACCTATGCTTGAAAAGCAAGACTGCTGCTCTGTGCTGCAAAGAAGCTTGATTTAAACTGGGAAAGAAAACTGGGTTTTGTCAGCTGTGTGTGGCTAGTTCTGTCAACACTGGGTGCATTACAGGTCTGCTGCTGTTTCTGCCAATAAGTATCTTGGTATAGACATATATGTTACTGTTTCTATTACTGGGAGGTAGGGAATGAGTGCCATTTTGGCTATTTCTTCATCATTTTGTCTACCTCTGAAACCATGTTGACAGCAGTGTCATTCTCTCATATTACTAATCAAGGTAATAGTTATGATTGCCCCCCCTCCCGATTTCACTCTGTGCCCCACTTCCATCCTATTTCAGAAGAATACTAGATCCATGTTTAGAAATAGTACAACTGACAGGAATATGAGAAAATAATAGCAAAATAAAATGTTGTACCCGCAAAGGTTGTACTTTTAAAACCAATGCATATTAAACATATAACTATGTGTTTGTTGTTTTGTGTAGAGACTTTTGAAAAAAGACTTGCCCAATTTTTTTACATATATTTGAATATTATATATCTTTATATTTTGCCTTAGTGCTGTTCATATGTTGTTTTACTTTTAAATATATGTGATTAGTTTAGACTTTGTGGAATTGTTTAGTATTCTTTGTTCCTCCAAAGAATAGAAAAAAGACAGATACATAAAGTTACAGGAAACCATATTCTAAGCTAGATATTAAGAGTAACTGCTTAACTGTAAGAACTGTTTACTGTATAGAAAAGCCAACTGCCTTGAAATGTAGTGCTCTCTTCTTTATTAGAGGTATTTATGTAGAAGCTAGATAGTGTCAACATACTGTAACACGTTTTGCATTTTAAATTATGCATTGAGCAAGAAAGGGACCTCTAGCATCCCTTTCAATTATATTTTATGATTAATTAATGAAAAAATATTATAAATATCTCCTCAATCAATCATCTGAGATTTACTAAATATTGCCTATCCCATAATACAGGCTGTGTTCAAATTCCTGGTTGGCTTTTGTATGACATAGAATGCTGGATTAGATGGCCTGTCAGCAGGCATCTTTTTATACATTAAAAAATATTACAAGGATAAGGAGCAGCTGAGAGTTTTGGGATTCCAATTTTGGCAAAAAGCAGATTCTCCTCCCATGCTATCCTTTTCCAAATGTAAATTTCTGTCCTCAAAGCTCCATTTGAAAAAAAGCATGGCAGGGTGGAAAGCACCATTACTTCAATTGGGAAGGTGGGATCCAATGGGAGCAGTTAAAAAAAATGTAAAGAGACAGGAGATCTGATTATGGATAGCAATTGTTTATCTAGATTGGCTCCAGAAAGTTTCTAATTTAAAAGCAACGGTTAAAGACAGAATTTCCACGATGCTAAATACTGTGTACAAACCAATGTGTACTTTGTAATAATAATAATTCATCCCCAGCCCACAGT